CTAGCATTCAAGTACAAGGGCTTGTGAAATGTTTGGTTGACAAAAGAGGATCTATACTTACAAGTTTGTTCTTGGAAAGAGCAAGACTATGCTTCGGGATGAGGATACGCTCTTTTTTTTTTTTTTTTTTTTTTGAGGAAGGATGAGGATACGCTATAGTTTGCCTCTTTGGTTTTTTTGGAAAAGGCCGAATGGCCATTGTCTTGTAGGGAAATTTGCCCCTTGTAATTTTGTTTTGTTAAGGCCATGTTGGCCTCTTAGCTTGATTACTCTTTGTGTATGTTGCTTGCTTGGTCACTTTTGGACCAAGAGATTTTGTAGGCTTTTTTTTTTTTTTTTTTTTTTTTTTTTTTTTTGGATAAGGGTCAAATAGACCCTTTAAGTATATAGCAAAGTGCAATTAACCCCTCCATCTAAAAAAACTTTCAATCAAATCCTTAAACTTGTTAAAAATGTGCAATTACTATTTTTAACAAGTTACCAAAAGGTAACCAATTTATTTTGCTTGCTTGACATTTAAATATTTTTTAAAAAAATAAAAATAAACTTAAAAAGATAGGTGTCGTATTCATCCTCGCCGGTTCTCCGTTCGTTGTTGCTAGCAGTGAATAAGCCGCCGAATTCATCGATCGACGCCACCATTACATTTGAAAGAGAAGCTCGCTAGCTTCTCTTCTCCGTTCATGGAGAAGCCAGTGAGCTTCTCCGTCCAAATGACTTTTCCGTTTGAGAAGCCAGTGAGCTTCTCCGTCCAAATTTGGACGGAGAAGCATGTTGGCTTCTCCATGAACGGAGAACCTCCGTCCATGGAGAAGCCATGGCTTCTAGTCCATGAACGGAGAAGCTCCGTTCATGGAGAAGCCATGGCGGCAGGCTGGGAAAGCTGCCAGCCTGCCCCTTGGCGTTTTTTTTATAAAAAAAAAATTAATTTTTAATTTGTTTATAATATAATTAATTTATTTTTTTAAAAAAAATCTTAAAATATTAATTGACGTGGCAGGTGACTTGAAGGTTACATGTTATTATAGGTCAAATAGGTTAATTGCACTATTTTAACAAGTTTAAGGGTTTAATTGAAAGAATTTTTAGTTCGAGGGTTTAATTGAACTAGGTTAATTGCACTATTTTAACAAGTTTAAGGGTTTAATTGAAAAAATTTTTAGTTCGAGGGTTTAATTGAACTTTGCTATATAGTTGGAGGGTCTATTTGACCCTTATCCCCTTTTTTTTTTTATTACAAGAGAAGGGGATACTCAAACTACTAATTGCTTCCAATGAGATTCGAACCTATCCATTCCACTTAGGAAAGCAAACCGGATACTATTTGACCACAAGGTCCTTGGTGATTTTGTAGGCTTTTTGGCCCTTGTTTTGGTGATGATATATACTTCAATTTGAAAAAAAAAAAAATCATTAAAAAATACTAAAATCAAAATAGTATAAACCATTCATTTTAAGAAACAATTATACCAACATTTTTTGTTCCAATTAAGGACCTAACATTATTGGCTCTTATTAGATTTGTAGATGTAGATGTAGATACAAATCAAATATTTAAAAATATTTTTGCCTAAGTAAAATCACCCTTCTAAAAATAATAACCGTTTATCTTATCAAAAAAAAAAAAAACAAAAAAAAAACAAAAAAAAAAAACAAAAAAACAAAAAACAAAACAAACAAATTATACTGTAAAAGTTGTCCACAATGGTCAACTAATAATAAATTCTATTTTAGTGTAGTGTAGTAAAGGCAGAAAAATTATATTTTAATATATATTTAATACAGAGTATAAAATTAAATGATTTTTAAGTAACACGTAAAATTAAATGATTTTTAAGTAACACGTAAAATTAAGTTACAGTATATAACCTACTAGGCTACTACATTATCAAATTTCTATTACCCATTTAGGCTTCAAATATTTACGCTAAATTAACTTCAAAACTTGCAGAATAAAACAAACGGATACTGGCATACTGCACAGGGAATTAAACAAAAACAGCTCATGAAGCGCTCATGCGAAATAACCATTTCCATCGACTAAATAAAATAGGCTTTTAAATTTAAATTTTAAACCGGGATTGGTGGGGTGCGCCAAGCCAAGGCAATAGTGCAACGCCAAGGCGACGCTTGAAAGTCCAGACGGCAAGCTGTCCAATAGTTATGCTGTGCAACCAACTGCACCATGCGCATGGTGCATACTATGCAAAACGACGTCGTTTTGACTAGAAACGCGCGTCCCACTTTAAAAAAAAAAAATTCAGGTTCGATTCTTGACAATAGCATTATTGTTGATATATAGTTATGAATTTCTGGATATATAGTTATGAATTTCTAGATATATAGTTATGAATTTATGGATATTTAGTTCATTCATTATGGATATTTAGTTCATTCATTGTAGATATTTACTTCATTCATTCACTGTGGATATATAGTTATGAATTTATGGATATATAGTTATGAATTTCTGGATATTTAGTTCATTCATTCATTGTGGATATATAGTTATGAATTTGTGGATATATAGTTATGGATATATAGTTATGAATTTATAGATATATAAAAATGTTATTGCCGGGAATCGAACCTGATTTCTTTTATAAGTGGGACGCACGTTTTTTAACCAAAACGACGTCGTTTTGCATCGTATGCACCATGTGCATGGTGCATTCGGTTACATAGCATAATTTGCGGCAAGCTGTCTTAATAGGCCTTCCCCTTAAAAAAAAGTGAGTTAATATCATGTGAGCTAATAGCTCATATATTAGATATTAAGGCTGTGTTTGAAAACCCGAAAAATGATTTCTGGAAGAAGTCATTTTCCGGACCTGGAAAATCCAGTCAACGGAAAACATTTTCCGTTGACTGGGGAACTGGGGAAAATGAGCCCAATTTGGCGGAAAATGACTTCTGCCAAATTTGGGCGGAAGTCGTTTTCCGCCTTTTCTCTTTCATTTTTTTTTTTTTTAAATTCTGGCGGAACCCAGAACCATAGCTATGGTTTCTGACGGAACCCAGTTCCGCCGGAAATCAAGGCTGGTTTCCGCCAGAAGCCATAATTTTTTTTTTTTGTTTTAAAGATTTAAAATGAATTTTTAATTCAGAATTCAGAATAAAATAATTAAAATATTTAATATACCATTCTACTCATTTTCCAAAAAATGAACCAAACACACCAAAACAGTTTCCGAATGCAACCAAACACTGGAAAAAGAAAATATTTTTCAAATAATTCATTTTCCAGAAATCATTTTCTGGAAATCATTGTCCTGCTTTCCAAACGGACCCTAAACTGATAATAACAAATACTATACTTGATATTAGCCAAAAGGCCGAGAAAGGTATGCTTTGAAAGTAAACAGCCCACTTCTTTTATACGCTCCCACACCCATCCACTCCCTCCTATACCCAACCGATGTGGGAAAAAACATAGCTGCTAAATAGTCAGACCTATAATAATTCACAGCTTCTTCAATGCCAACAGCTGCTCTACTAGTCTCATCTTACCCACCCCCATCCCCTGAATTGGTAAGGTCAATATATTACATATATTATTTAAATTTTTTCTTTAAAAAAAACCATGTACCATACGATTGTCTCTTTCTTTGCAAGAAATCAATGTATTTTTTTAAAATATAATTAAAATAAAATTTTGGATCTTTGAGAAAACAAATGTGTTATAAATTTTTAGCAAAAATGACAATTTTAATTCGCATTTGATTTATGGACCCCTCTTCTTTTCCTATTCCTAAATATTGTCTATCTTCTTCCTCAAATCTTTGTCCATTCATTCCCAAAAAACTTGTGTTCAACTCGTTTGTTCGAGTTCTCCAAAGGTACTATAGTTTCAATAGTGCTCGAACCATATCGTTAATCTCATTTATCCTGTAAGACTGAAGCTATAGCACCCATAGCATCCCTGGAAGATAGTGAATCGATTATAAAGAGAGTCTGAATCCACACAATTTGGATTTTGTTTTTTAGTTCTTTCGTTGAGATTATTTTTCTGTGAATCGATTATAAAGAGAGTCCGAATCCACACAATTTGGATTTTGTTTTTTAGTTCTTTTGTTGAGATTATTTTTCTAAATTAAAATCCCTTTATTTATATATTTTCAACAATGTGATTGGTTCCTACCAAAAAGAATAGATAAAAAAAAATGTTAATATTACACATGTTTTTTATTCAATCATATCTAATTATACAAATCATAAATATTCATTGATCTATTTGACGTGTTTTCCTTTATTTTAATAAAAATATACATTAATTTTAAGAAAACTTAGAGTCCACGTGTGTGTGAAGCAACTCCAAACAAGTTAGTCAGCCAATTGATTTAATAATCTTTTTATGATTTTTTTGTCAACTAACGTCACAAACAAGCTTCAATCAAAGTGCACACCTTTAAAGAGCAACTATAGACTTTATCGTAAATCGAATAATATGAGTACTAACAAAAATCACCTTAAATGAAGCATATTGTATCAAATATGTTCGAGTTGGAGAGGAGAATATTAAAGAAATTCTAAAAGTATGCCTGGGACAAAAAGAAGTGATTTTGTAATTCTAAAAAAAATGGTACATAGATTAAAAATAAAAATTAAATATCAAATAAAACTCATTTTATTCATTAGTTACTATGAATTGGTCAATGTTATTCACTTTAAAAAATAATCTACTTATTAATTAAATACAATCATATATTATCACGTTAGATAGTAAAAATATTTTGTCCATGTAAAACCATCCTTCTAAAAGTAACAAATTAAAAATTATATTGTAAACTGTTACGTAGTATCTTAAAATGGTGAACTACTAATAAATTCAATTTTAGTATAGTAAAGGTATTTTAATAGAGTGAAGAATCATAAATTAGCTTAGTTGGCGTGAGTGGTCGTGTACTCTTGCACTTTAAGAAAGGTTGGGAGTTTGAACGTCCACTTTGTCCCTTAATTGGGCCGCTCAATGTGAACGGGGATTAGTCTGAGTATGGTATGGACTCTAAAGGTGCCTCCTACAGTAGTTTTGACCCAAAACGACGTCGTTTTGGGAGGCGCGGCAGAAGTTGACATGATTATGTATATTTAGTTTGTTTATACAATTATGTATATTTTTTATTATGTACATTTTTTATACAATTATGTACATTTTTTTTATACAATTATGTACATCCGAATCAGGAAATTTTTGTGTATTATGTTTAGAGTTGATGTGTATTATGTTAAAAGTTTATGTTTATTATGTAATGTTAGATTATGTGTATTATCTTTTAAAAAAGAGTATGTGTATTTTGTTATATAATTATGTACATTCATGTATACAATTATGTGTATTCTAGTATAACATTATGTACATTTTTTAACATGAGAATTTTTTTTTAAGCAAAATTAACTGTCAAACACTGGGTAGCGAAATTTCAAAAAAGAAAAAAAAAAACAAACAAAATTTGAAACGACGTCGTTTTGCATCTGGGCCCACAATGCAACGCGCGCCGTGGTGCAGGCATGGTTGCAGTAGGCGCTAGGCGCTAGTCGGGCGCCCGGACAGCGCCTAGCGCCTAGACGGTCTAGGCGGAATCTAGGCGGCGCTAGACGGGCGCCAAAAAATAGTGGTAGACTTGCAGTTTGACAATTTTAATGAGGTTGTTTTCAACATTTAATCAAATAACACATCCAAATAAATGAATTAATGATAATTCATAAGTCATAACATCAAAACAATGGTTTTATAAAAAAACATTAATTAAAACAATATTAAAAATTAAAAATACTCCAATATGAAATACTCAAATACTTCAATCATTCAAAGATTCAAAGTATCAAACTAGTCTACGAGGGTATATATGTCATATTATATATATGTATGTGTGCGCGCACACACACATATATATAATAAAAAAAAATAGGCCGAGCCGATCGGGTTAACTCGACTAACTTAGACGCTAGGCGGGCGCCAGGCGGGAAATCACCACGGTCTAGAGGCGCTTAGCGCCTAGACCGATTTTTACAAGACCCAAAACGACATCACCACGGTCTAGAGGCGCTTTGCGCCTAGACCGATTTTTACAAGACCCAAAACGACATGACTAATCCCCCATCCTGCTGTCAGGGCACTGGCCAAATGGTTTGATCCATTCACATGAGTGGGGATTGAACCCCTAACCTCATGTTTGAGGAACAAGGTGCTGAACCACCATGTCAACCATGTTGGTTATTATATTAAGTGTTTATGTGTATTATGTTAAGAGTTTATGTCTATTATGTATTATTATTATTATTATTATTATTATTATTATTATAATTTTGTATAAGAGTTTTTATGTCTTTAAAACATATTCCATTTCTATTCCTTTAACCAACAAAATACTGGAATACAATTACTAAAATCTATTCCTTTAACGAACCAAACAACAGAATACAATTCTTATTTTATTCATTACCTATTTCATTCCATATGAAATAGCATTCATATTCTCTCCAAATTGATTCCGTAACCAAACATATTGTAAACTAAACTTAAAATATATAAACCAACTACATTATATTATCTTCTGCTCCGTATTATCTTTTTAAGTTTTGATTATTTACAACAAATTACATTAAACTTGTAGAAGAATAAATAAAACAAATATTTCAGAGCATATATACAAATAGTTCATATACAGAGACCTAAACCCAACACAAGCGCACTAGCAAAAAGAACTACTCCCTCGGTCTCATTTTATTTGTCTGGTTTAAATTTATTTTTAATTTAATTTTTCATAATATTAAATTTAGTATTAATATACAAAATTTATATATTTAGAAACTATATTAAAAGTATTATTAAACAAAAAAAAATTAAAAATAAATATAAAATACTAAAGAGAATAAACAAAGAAGAAAAAGTCGGTTTGACCAATGAATAGTAAGTAAGACAGATAAAATGAAATAGAGGGAGTACTCTTTTATATATAGCCAAGTGGGATTACAGGGTGTGTTTGGTTCGCACATGAGAATCGGAATCGGAATGAGTATCAAATACTTGGTAATAGTAATGGATTTTGGTAAAAGTACTTAACATGTTTGGTAGTATGGTGGAGTGTGAATGGTTACTAATAGTAGTACTTAAAAATGAATAAGGGAATGGAACCTTTATTTTATTTTAGTAGAATTTTTCAATTAATGAGGTATTCGAAATTATTCTAAAAATCTAATCAACCAAACAATAACAATCACTTTCATACTCATTCTTATAGGCAAAACCCATCAACCAAACACACTCACACTAAACAAAATAGGCTTAGAATTCTTAAACTAGAGTTGGTGGGGTGCGCCAAGCCAAGACAATAGTGCAACACCAAGGCAACACTCAAAAGCCCAGACAGCAAGCTGCCTTAATGGGTCTTCCCCCTAAAAAATAGTGAGTTAATATCATGTGGGCTAATAGCCCATGTATCAAATATTAAAGTGATAAGAACAGATACTACAATTGATCTTTGATCTTAGCCAAAAGGCCGAGAAAGGTATAATTTTGTATGCCCACATCCCCCTTCTTTTATAACATCTCACATCCATCAACTCCCTCTCCCCAACCGATGTGGGACAACAAATTGCTACCAAATAACTTCACCGCTTCTTCAATTCTTCATTTTCTGTATTCTTTAAGTACAGACCAATATTCAACTTGAAATTTAGAGAAATAAAGAAGTGAACAACAGGAAAACAATAACCACATTATAATTTAGACGGGATAGACTAAATCAAGAAACAGAAAAATAAAAAAGAATTTCAACTATTTATAATTTTTATGAAAAGTCTACATAAATTCTAATTTGATAGAATTTTTAAAAGCAATATAAAATTATAAAAATCTGAATCGAATACCATTAAACTTTTTAATAGTCTGAATCGAATGCCACGAGATTTTTAAATAATCGATAAAAGCCTAGATCGAATACTACCAACTTTTAAAGTCGTTAAAAATATTTAAAAATTTTATAGAAGTTTTGATTGAATACATTCTTCATTAGATTGGGCAAAAACTTGCATCAGACGTTTCCTTGATATCAATATTCAATAGTTATATCATGTGCCTGGGTGCATTTTGCAACATGCACCCCGCACACCCATATTTTTTTATCCTTAATATTTTTCAACTTACATTTACTTTTTTTTTTCTTTTTGTACAAATAAAATTAATGTATAAAAATATATTATTAAAAACTCTAATTAAAATATTTTAAACGACACTATATATATATATATATATATATATATATATATATATATATTTATATTTAGGTAATTAAAGTCATTACTTTACTGTAATATTTATGTACATCAAATTTTATTTTTATGAACTATTGAACATACATATAGAATGACTCTATTTATTGTCTATTATTTTAATACTCCGTACTATAATTTTTTCAAACTCGGATTTGATTTACATCTAATATATGAATTTTTTTTTTTTTTTTGAAAACCAATATGAATTTATTTATTTTAAAATATATTGTAATAGTCTAATAGAGTCACTAACATTCAAAACTATAAATGGTTCTTTAATTATTTTGAAGTGTTAAAGTTAGTTGTTGACTTTTCGTTGAGTCTTTGATTATTATTTTGTTTAAGATTTAATCCTCTCGTTAATTTTATAGTTAAATATAATAATGGTCATAAAACTATTCCTAACATTTTCTTCATTTGTCAATTATTGTAAAGTGTGGAAATCTTAATTTTTCAAATCAAAATTTTAATCATTCAAACAAAAACATTCTTATTAAACATACCTAAGACATCCCACAAATGAAGTTTAAATTTTTAATACTCTAAACAATTTTCTATATACACATAAAGAATTTTCAACATTCTTGCTAACAATACTCTGGCTAAATTTTTAACACTTATCATTACTCGTTACTCAAAAGTTGGAATTTTTGAAGCTCAAAACCACACTTAAGTAAACTGATAAATCATTTCGGACAACTTCCGAATTGACATTGCAACAACAAAGGAATTTCACATACATGAAAAAAAATATAAACACTGTCGGCCCAAAAGACATCAAGACATCACACTTCACACTTAGACAATATAATAGGGCCAAACCTACTATTCAGTTTATATAGTCCAATAAGCCTTTGAAACATTAAACTGAGCTTGGTGGGGTGCGCCAGGCCAAAGCAATAGTGCAACGCCAAGGCGACACTTGAAAACCCAGACAGCAAACTACTTTAATGGGCTTTCCCTTAAAAAAATGAGTTAATATCATGTGAACTAATAACCCACGTATCAGATATTAAACTGATAAAGAACAGATACTACACTTGATCTTAGCCAAAAGGCCGAGAAAGGTATGATTTTTTAAGTCCACATCCCTCTTCTTTTATAACCTCCCACACCCATCAACTCCCTCTCCCCAACCCAACCGATGTGGGACAAAAAATTGCTACCAAATAGCTTCACTAATTCTTCAATCCTTCATCTTCTCTATTCTTTAAAGTACAGACCAATATTTAACTTAAATTTAGATGCATAAAGAAAGTACAGACCAATATTTAACTTAAATTTAGAGGAATAAAGAAGTAAACAACAGGAAAATATATAATAACCACATTATCCTATTGACTGGATAAACTCAACCAAGAAACAGAGCAATAGAAAAAGGATTTTGCAGAAACAAAATGGAATTCATAAGTCTGGATTACAATGAGGTACATCAGCATTCATCCAAATTCCTACCTAAACAACATGAAACAGTACGATGATGATAAAAGATTTCTGTTTTTTCCTCCAAAGAACGCCCTAAAATCAGGAATCCGACTGCAAAAGATTTCCCAAAAAAAAAAACTGAAAAAAGTCCCAAACTGATAATAGAGAAACCCCAAATCTGCGAGAGTGGGGGATTTAATCATTTGATTTTCTCAACGATGTCGGAGACAACCTTATCCATGTCGAGAGCCTTCATGGGTGCGAATGGCCTCTTCATATCCAGAAGGCTGATGAACTTCTCCCCATTCTCTTCGCGGATCTCGAAGCATCCCCGCCGGGGCTTTTCCGGGTTGACCACCACGTTCACGCCAGCGACGCCTTTCTCCAGCCCCTCCTTCACCGTCAAAGCCCGAGTCTTGAACGAGTTGCACTGCTTGCAGTGCTCTATCACGATGGTCTTCCCTTCCTCCGCCGGCGGCGGCGGGAGGGTTGCTTTCCCTTCCTTGGGTGCGGCGGCGGCGGCGGTGGTTTTCTTGGGCTTCTTGGCCTTGGGCGGCTCCACCGGGTTGTCCGAGTTGGCGTTGACCAGGCGAGTCGAGCTCCGAGTCACCCTGGTCGAGGGCTCCACAGCTGTTCTTTTCCTGGGTGCCATTTTTCTTTGGAGGATAAAGACAACAACTTTGGACAGTTTTAATGCGAAATAAGGAAGAGAGAGAGAGAGAGAGAGAGAGAGAGAGAGAGAGAATATTGAAGAAGTGATTTGTGCATTGATGGGTTCAGCTTTTTGTGAGTGAAGAAGGGTTTTGGGGGTCAGGTCATCAGTGTGCCAGCATTTTCCCGCGCTTTTGGACGGTCGAGATTGGTTATTAGACACGACAAGTACATGGGAGCGTCGCACCAAATATCCACGTTGTCTTCCCCGAGAAGTGGGAGGGGTTGATTAACTTCACAAAGTGGATCACACGTGTAATTTTGTAAATAAACACAATTTTTACAATCAAATTAAGTATAAACACAACTTTTTACTATGCTAAACACACGGTAATAATAATCCGGTACAATTAAATCTATACTATATGTCTATATCTATATCTACACTATCTATACTATATTTATTTATTTTTATTATTAAAAACAAAATCCCATGCATTCTCGCCAAATAATTAATAATAATAATAAAATAAAAAATAGAAGGAAAATGGAAAAAAATAATAATAAGGTTAGCAGCAAAAAAGGAAAAATAAAAAAAGATATTTAATTCAAATAATAATAATAATAATAATACCTTCAAAATAATAATAATAATAATAAGGTTTGCATTAAAAAATGAAAATAGAATTTGATTTGTAAGTCAATAAGGTTAGCTGTAAAAAAATTGACTTAGGAAAACAGAATTCACATAATAATAATAAGATTAGCAGTAAGACATGAAAATAAAAAAGGATCTGAATTTCACTTAATAATAATAAGCTTAGCAGTAAAAAAAAAAAGAAAAAATGGAAAATGATCTGGAATTCGAGAAGCAATAACGTTCAAAAAAAAAAAAGATCCATCCCTTTTTTATAATATTGACCCATATGTTAATCCATTTATTCTGGTAATCTATATGAGTAATTACCATATACTATTTACCATCTAAATAACCCGTGGTAATTAACAATCATACTTAACATCTAAATTTATTATGTTAATTAAACATAGAGAATCCATTTTTACGACAATTTTATATTATTTTTTACTTCAAATAATATCAATTACATGTGCACTTCCTTTAATTACCTATGAATAAAATCTTAAAAATAATGGCAATAAAGGAATTAATACTTTCCATAATATAAATTTTATCGAATTAGTTAAGAAAATTGATAATACACATATTACATCCATAATTAAAGGAGATTAAAAAATTATGATCATTATTTCAATTCACATATTATTGCGCTAATTCACAGATTATTACGTCCACACAATTATGCAAATTATTCCAATTCACATATTATTGCACATATAGAATTATGCTAATGGTTATTTTTGAATAAAATCTTAATAATTATGGTAACTAAGAAATTAATTCACACATTATACTTTTACTAAACTTTTTTTTATACTTATCGTAATATAAATTTTATCTAATCAATTAAGGGAATTAATGATACACATATTACGAACATAATTAAAGAAAATTAAACATACACATATTATGTCCATAATTAAACGAAATTAAACATACACATATTATTTTATTAAGAATAATATATACTCCTTAATTACCACAACTATTCAGATTACATTTACGTCATAATTAGCATAATAGTAATTAAAAATAATATATACTCATTAATTACTATATCATAATAAAACGATATTTTTAATCTCTCATAACATGTGTAAATCTTATATTTTTAAAAATACAATTTAATAAATATCATAAATTAATTAGTACAATATTATTTCTATTTATAATAATTAAAGAAAAAAATAAATAATTCAAATATGTGAACCATTGATTTCAAAATGAAATTAATATACGGTTACAAATTAATATATCATGATTAGATTTACTTTATTTAGTTTTAATTTCCTATTTTCCTTAATCAAATAACTTTTCTTTATTAGTTTTTGATGAGACACTAAGGGAGTGTTTGAGTTGTTGAAAAATATTTTAAAAATAAAAATACATACTAATCAAAAATAGTTTTACAATATTTTTTTAACCACTAAACATGGGAAAATTTTATATTTTTTAAAGAAAAGATAGAATTTTGATAAATATCATAAATTAATTATTGTCATATCATTTATGTTTACAATGAGAATAATTAAAGAAAAAATAACTAATTCAAATATGCGAACCAATGATTTCAAAATGAAATTAATATACAGTTACAAATAAATATAGCATGATTAGATTTATTTTAATTAGTTTTAATTTCCTTAAGAGTAAATACCCAAAATGGTCCCTCAATTATAGCTAAATTCACAAATTGGTCCCCGACTTTCAATTTTAACCAATTAAGTCCTTAACTTTGCAATTTTAACACGATTTGATCCTTCGTCTATTTGACCGTTTGTTGATCGTGATTTCTGAGGATATATATGTAATTTCACCGCCAACCTCCCTCATCCGCTGCCGTGACACAGTCTATCGCCCATGTAACACCCCACTTTTCTTAACTCTTCGCTCTGGTACGAACTCAACTACATTGAATCCAAAGAGGGGATGAAGAAAGACGACAAGATTTGGCAAATTGCTTTCAGCAGTGGATTCAAATGTAACAGTGCGGTCTGGAAATGCAACCGGAACATTAAAAACCCGACGATGGACCATGAAATTACATATATATTCTCAAAAATCACAGTCAACAAACTGTCAAATAGACGGAGGACCAAATCGCGTTAAAATTGCAAAGTTAAGGAGTTAATTGGTTAAAATTAAAAGTCGAGGACCAATTTGTGAATTTAGCTCTAGTCGAAGGACCATTTTGGGTATTTACTCTTTCCTTAATGAAATGACTTTCTTTATCAGTTTTTTATGGGAGACTAAGGGAGTGTTTGGGTTGCTGAAAAATATTTTAAAAATAAAAATAATTTAAAAATATTTTTTAACCCCTAAACATGTGAAAATTTTATATTTTTAAAAAGATACAATTTGATAAATATCATAAATTAATTACTGCAATATCATTTATGTTTACAATGAGAATAATTAAAGAAAAATAAATAATTTAAATATGTGAACCAATGATTTCAAAATGAAACTAATCTATATACTATTAATAAAAGTAAATACAATCGGTGATATTATGTTTTTAAAAAGTGGCAAAATTGCAAAATTGCTATATCTAAACAACAAATATATCTTCCATACAAATGAATTAGGATAACACATTATTCATATAACTGAGTTGCTAGAGAACTAACACGTTTGCCTAATTTATAAAAATACTAAACACTGATAAATAAAATCTCTAAAGTTACAGCACCGTATGTGTACATCTACACATTAACTATTAATTTTAGCAAATTTGCTCAAATTCAAGCAATGATAACATCAAAACACATAAACGATCCTAACCATATATATCTATAATTGCACTATATAATATTTGATGTTTTAATTTAAATAATTATATATCGATCCAAATATTATTAATATATTACAACAAATCAATTCCATGCATCACATGGGCGAAAATACTAGTATTAATTAAAAATAATATATACTCATTAATTACTATATTGTAATCATAATAAAACGACCTCATTTTTATTGAAATTAATGATAGATTTCCTACCCATATAGAAAATTAAACATACACATATTATAGCAATTATTATTGTGTGGACCATGGTCCATACAAGTTGTCTAGACCATATTTTGTATACTATTAAATAATGTACATTCAGTACAAAAATAATGCACATTCAACACAAAATAATGTACATTGTATTGAGAGGATGCACATTATTTTTGTACTGAGTCTATATTATATTGTATAATGTACATTCAGTACAAAAAAAATGTACATTTAGTATATTACAAATGTATTTCTTGTTATAATCCACATAACGGTATAACACTGTGTTGACCATGGTCCACACAATAATTTGTCATACTCTTATAGTGGGTAATTAAGGGTCCGTTTGGAAAGCAGGAAAATGACTTCTGGAAAATGACTTCTGGAAAATGAGTCATTTTCCAGAAGTCATTTTCCTTTCTAGTGTTTGGCTGAAAAATGGAAAACTGTCTTTTGGTGTTTGGTTAATTTTCCAGAAAATGATGGAAAACTGTCTTTTGGTGTTTGGCTCATTTTTCAGAAAATGAACAGAAGGGTATACTTAAGCATTTTAATTGGTATTCGATAAATATATTTTTATTATTTTTTGTATAATATAACAATTTGCGGTTGTCAACATCTCTGGATTGTACAAGAGCAGAATGCAGAAACACATTGTGAGGCATGATAATACACCCAACAACTCCCACCGCCTGCTTTATTGTTCTCGAGCTGAGCTTTGGAACCAATATACATCAACCCCACTAGGCTTCGTCTGGGGAAACCAGCTCACTGGTTTCGCATCGGAAACCAGATCTGGTTTCCGATGCGAAACCAGTGAGTGAGCTGGTTTCGCATCGGAAACCAGTTCTCTGGTTTCCGATGCGGAAACCAGAGGCAGTGGTTTCCGGCCGGGGAAACCAGTGAAGAAAAAAATGGGAGATAAATGGGAGAAAAAAAATGGAAAAGAAAAAAAATGGGATTGTTGGTGGAGTTGTGTTGCTAATGTTGAAGGAGAAGGAGAGTTGAAGTGCTGAAGAAGAAGTGAAGTAGCGTGGATGGAAAATGACTTCCCCCAAAAAAAATGGGAAGTCATTTTCCGGAAAATTGCCCTCCTTTTCCATTGACTTCTCCTCATTTTCCTTTGACCAGTCATTTTCCAATGTAACCAAACACCCAAAACTCGGAAAATGACTTCCAGAAGTCATTTTTCGGGTTTCCAAACACACCCTAAAGGAAGATAGACATACACATATTACGCTCATAATTAAAGGAATTAAACATACACATATTACGCCCATAATTAAAATAAATTAAACATATACATATTACGTCCATATTACCAACTTGTATTTAACACTTTAATCTTACTATGGTAATTAAACATAGAGATTATCTTCATTTGATTATAGGATACTTTTGTTGATTAAAATAAGAGTAAATGTCAATTTTGGTCCCACGAGTATTAGTAAAATGACAGTTTTTGTCCACATGTTTAATTTCTACCACATTTCATTCACGACTATTGTTTTAGTGTCAAAATTCATCACGTCAGTCCCACCCTTCGTTTAATGCATGCCAAAATATGAAATTATTAAGGTTATTTTTGTCCTTTTTTAAATTAAGATCCCAATTTAAACATTAATAAATGAATTTAAGCCCTAAGATCGATCTAAATTTGCAATTCTCCTCCTCAAATTAAGGTAGGATGAGAAGGGGATCTACGAATTGGGATCGATCTTAGTGTTTAAATACATTTATTCATGTTCAAATTGAGATCTTAAGTTGAAAAGGACAAAAATACCATTAAAATTTTTGATTTCAGCATGTCTTAAACGGAGGGTTACCAGCGTGATTAATTTTGACACTAAAACAATAGTCGTGGATGAAAATTGGTACTAAAATAATAGTCGTGGATAAAAATTAGTAGGAATTAAACATGGGCATCAAAACTGTCATTTTGCTAATACTCGTAGGACTAAAATTGGTATTTGCTCTTAAAATATCAATTAGTCATGCTCTTCCTTCTATTTTTTGTTTAGACTTTTCGTAATATAATTTTTAAGTAATCAATTTCAACACTAATATGCAAATTTTATAATTTTAAATAAATATACACTTTCAAATATTAAAATTATTTATAATTTCATCATTATTTTTATTATTTAAATATATAATAAAAAATTGATGCACGTTAATTTACTAGTTTGGCAATTAAAAAGCAAAAGTTGTCAATATACACAATTACCACACTTGTGATGATCGATAAATTTATTTAGGAATAAGTGTCAAATAGGTCACTGAATTGCACACGAGAATGCAATTAAATTATTGAACCTAAAAATTTTTTAATTGGATTCTTAAACTAACCAATTTCATGCAATTAGTCCATTTTACAGGTTTCTAATAGGTTACCCCTCCACCTTCATATGTGGCATTTAAAAAATAATAATTTATTTTTAAATTAATTTTTTAATGTTTAATAAATAAAAATTAAAATAATTTGTTTTTTTTTAATAATAATTTGTTAATTTGTTTAAAATTTGCAAATTACCAGATACAAACCAATTATTTTAGTTTTTATTTATTAAACATTGAAAAGCTAATTTTAAAAATAATTTTTTTTTTTTAAAAAAAAATGTCACATATACATTCCAGTTGGAGAGGTGTAACATGTTAGAAACTTGAAAATTTTGTAAAATGGATTAATTGTAGGTTAGTTTAGAGATTTAATTGTAGATTTTTTAAGTTTAGTGGCTTAATTGCGTTATCATGTGTAATTCGGTAGCCTATTTGGCCCTTATTCCAATTATGAGAAAATTTCAATTTTGGTCATATCACTATAGGGACTTTGTTAATTTCAGCACCTGACTTTTAAAAGTGTCAATTTAGTACCTTGACTATGCAATTCTTATCAATTTTGGTCACTCTGGTCAAATTGCCGGCCAAATTTCGCCGGAAAATTTTAACAGTTAAAATAATGAAGATATTTTAGTCATTTCACATCTCTTTCCTTCTTCTCCGGCGAATTTATCTTTTCCAGCGAATCCGAGGATGAGGTGCAATGCGATGCTTTCAACATTATCAAAAAAGAGAAGTATTTATTCAATATTATCCAAAAAGAGAAGTATTTATTCAACATCAATTTTAACATAATGTTGATATAGGAAGTTTTAGAATAAATAGGCACCAGCATCAGTTTTAGCATTTCGCTTTCTTCTTTGAGCAAACCTTTTTGGCCGGAAAAGCTTTCGACCGGAATTTTGGTAGGAGGTGCACTGGACGAGCACAAAGAGAAGTGCAGTTCGGAGATTTCTAGGTCCGCCGATATCTCAAGCTCCCCTTACACAAACGGCCATATGTTTTCAATCGGAGTTTTGGCCATCTGAACCCTAACAAATCGTTGGCAATGACTTTGACGAATGAGTTTAAGTATGCTTTGGAAGGTGCGCTGCTGCGACGGATTCGCCAGAAAAAATGAATTCGCTGGAAAAGAAGGAAGAGATGTGAAATGACTAAAATACCCTCATTATTTTAACTGTTAAAATTTTTCGGCGAAATTTGGCCGGCAATTTGACTGAAGTGACCAAAATTGATAAAAATTACATAGTCAAGATATTAAATTGACACTTTTGAAAGTCAGGTTCTGAAATTAACAAAGCCCCTATAATCATATGACCAAAATTAAAATTTTCTCTTCCAATTATTTATCACAAATCAAAGTAAAATTGTAGTCTTTTAAGGTATACTAAACTATTTTATTTTGCTATGTAGTGTGATAGACATCCAAATTATCATTCCAAATGTATGATCATGGTTAGAATCTGGGTTTAAAAAAAAAAAAAACTATTTGAAAAATTTATCAGATTAATTGAATGCATTTATCACATTTTGAACACAACTTTGATTTTCCAAATGAACCTTAAAAGTTAGATAGTTGTCATTTTTTTTTTTTTTTTTTTTTTTCACAAATTAATATCTCCATCTAAATCTTCTTGCAAGTGGGAACATTTGTTTAGAAAAAATGGATTGTCAATACACACAAGAACATTGCTAATACACAAGCACCACTGCAACCTCTCAGACTTTGGAGCAGTTCCTGGCAGCATTTCGTCTCGCGCAGCATCCCACGAAGTAGATCATCGACTGCAAAATCCGAAACAAAAATATGATCTCTATTGGCTAAGGCAGTCAGTGACAGTATGTGGACACAACAAGCTTAATTAACACGTGAATGCTGCGATTTCTCAGAGTTAACGGGGATGTAGTGTAGTGTAGTGTAGTGTGTTACCAGGACGATGAAGAGGATGAGGTTAAAGATTGCGACGACCCTCCATTCTGTTTTCATGTACTGAGCAACGCCAGCCCTGAAAGCGTGGAAGGACAAAAACAGTTGACAACGAGGGCATAACGGGCTGGAAGAGTAGAAGAAACGAGAACTCGAGAAGGTAATAACTCACTTGCAGGAATCGCAGTTATAACACTTAATGTCCCTTTTGTTCTTGTACAGCTTGCAATCCTTATTGGAACTGGTCGGATGAAAGCTCAAGTCGTAATATGAGGCGTTCCTCGCAGGATAACCACACCTAAAAACGAGCGATATTGTAAGCTTATGCACGTACCAAGTTGAACGATATGTTCTATCTCAACTAAAAGTTTAAACTGATAGTGACACTGCAAATTTATAAAGCAGTACAATGGGGGCAACTCCAGTCAAGTTAGTCAGATGGTTGACTTGATAACCACAAGATTACAAGATCGACTCCCAACCGGAGTGGCCTATTGGCGTTTAAGTCAAAGAAATAGGAGAAGAAATACTTACTCAGATGGTGGTCTGCAGCAACCCGCTTCGATTGGACTTAGTTTTGCAGATTTATATTGTTTGAGAGTCTGCAGGAAATAAGTTCAAGAATCCGCAAGATTTCAGACCAAAAAAAGAAAAATTAAAATCGATAAACAAAGCTGAATGCCAACCTTATATCTTTTGGACAGGTTATCACAGTCGGCTTCTTTGACAAGACAGCTCTTCAGGCGTTCCCAGTTGTGCGAGCTATTGAGCTACAAAACATAGGACGTAAATGGTTAGCGAAAGATGAAATCCTCTTTGAATGTTATAACAACCGCATATCCTTGGAAGGTTTGACCAAACCAAAGGGATAGGGGCAAAACCCTCGAGAAAATTCAGAAACTTGATGCTCTGATTAGTACATACTTGCTTTAGGAACCATGAATGGTAATCTTGAAGTTGGTACTCCTTGTACCTGACACCGCATAAAATTTATTACTATAAGATGCTCATTGACCCGAGCAAATATAACCAGTGCAAATAAAAGATAAATGGAAACACGAACAATAACGATTTTAACAATTTAGATCAAGCCCATGAAAATACGGTAAGATCAGAAGAAAAGGGGAGAGATCTTACCTCAAACCATTTACGCTGTGAGCAGAGCCATTATTTGTTACAATAAATCTGCAATAGTAGAAACAAGAAGCAATATAACACATATAAGCAAGGTATAAGGCACTACGTTCAACAAGTCCATCATTAGCACATGGATGGGCGACCGAGCTGGTCAGGCAAAGCGTGAAAGGTTAACTATCAGATAGAAACCACAGCCCGAAAGGCGGAAAAGACAAAGTACACATTCAAGACTTCAAACAAGAAACGAACATAAAGGGGGTAACCCCAGCCAAGATGGCTAAAGATACAAACTTGTAACCACAATGTCACAAGTTCGAATCCCAGCCTTCTTGGTTTGAACCGGTCAGCTATGGGCAACCTAGACTGGTTTACCTCCATGTGGTCCTTTGCCAGCTAGGGTCACAAGGTGCCTCGGTTAATAGCACAACATAAATCAAGTTCTTGTGGTTACGAAAGGAAGGCAACCTAACCTCATGCGGGTTAACTGAAACACATAAATTAACTAAAATGATTTCCATTTCGAGGTACTTACGCCAAGACTGTAAGCATCAAGATTGCCACCAAAATGAAGAACAGCATGATCAAGTACTGAAACCCAAAGTTAAGGAAACAAGCATTAGATACTAAAATACACGATGCAATTCTTCTGTACACATTCAATATTTATCAGATGAGGATATACATACAATCCACAATAAAAAGGGGTTGCTCTTCCACGCACCAAGAAATCCAAAAACAGATCTGAAAAATAAAAGAGGAAAAGGCTCATAACAACATTGAGAGGAATACTAAAATATGACAAACTATGGTTTAAAACAATAGAATCATAAATGCAAGCTTACACTACAAATATCAACGCGCCAAGAACAATAATGTGGAGAGCTACAGATTTTCTACAGCCATCGTGATTAGCACCCATCCAGACCCCAAAACCAAATACACCCACGGCTAAAATCTGCATTTTGAAGATAAAAAATTAGAGATAACTCATTAAGGGCCAGCCTACCAAAACAATACACAGCTTTCCTACTTCAACCCAGGCTAAACCATCCTATTACACCAAGGCTCCAGAGAGGTCCATTTTATGTTGGGTCACCACTAGAGAATCAGATTCGACCACAGCATTGCACAGTAAGCTTAAGAAGTCTAAAAAGAGTGGGGCAACCCCAACCAAATTGGTCAGGCTATTGACTTGTAACTGATAAAAAATAAAGAGTTAGATTTATCTATAGAGTTGTGTTTGTTTATGAATAGATGTCAGTTATGAATAGTTACTTACAGTTATGCGTTTGTATATATATATATATATATATATGTACTATGTTTCTTTTATAGAATATATTATAACCATTCAGTTTTATATACATTATCTCATTCCTGATTCTTCATTCTTGCTTCCGCTTAACTGGTGGGTGATTGTTATTCTCCACCCGCCATGCCATTCCATCTTACAAATTCAACAGTAACCACAAGGTTACAAGTTTGACCCCCTACGAGAGCAACCTATTGGCTTTCTTGGTTTAAACCGGTCAACTATTGGCAATCTAGGCTGGTCACAAGGCAAAATTTATCCCAATGCACCCTAGTGTAGTGGCTGCAGGTTTCCTCGTCACTCACAAAAAAAGTCTCAAAAGATTTCCTTTTTTTTTTTTAATGAAAACATTAAATAAATAATGCTTAAAACTCTCAAAATTCCACATTAGTGAGTGACATAAATAATATTTCCATTTACAAATTTATGCACAGTAAGCTCAAGAAGTCTCAAAAGAGTGGGGCAATTCCAACCAAGTTCGTTAGGCAGTTGACTTGTAACCACAAATTACAAGTTCGACTCCGTGGGGAACGGCCGATTAGCCTTCTTGGTTTGAACTTGTCAACTATAGACAACCTAGGCCTATTGGACTTCGGGTGAGCCAATTAGATATAGACAGCCTAAGCTGGTCACAAGGCGAAGTTTATCCCAGCACACCCTAGGATAGTGACGGCAGATTTCCTCATCACTCACAAAAAAGCCTCAAAAGATTTCATTTTTTTTTAGTGCAAACATTAAATAAATGATGCTTAAAACTCTCTAAAATTCCACATTAGTGAGTGGCATCAATAATATTGCCATTTACAAATTTATAGCAACAGCTTCCTTCCTACAGTTCGTAAAGAACCGATTTTTCATCACCAAAAAGAAAAAAAACAGTCCAATTGAGGAGCAAATAGCTATAAACAGAATTTTCCAAAATTACACATGCAAATCGAGATACCCAAAATAGGAAAGCACCAGCCGGCGATAAAGAAAGAGAAAACAAGAAGTGGGCACATTACCATTGTGAGAAAATTGATCCACCTGATCACAAAATTGCTAACCGACCCCATTTCCACCTCCCCTCAGCTCCTCTTAGCTTCCTACTCACTCAAGAACCCCACGCCCCAACATACCCAGAACTCGAACATACAACAAACAGAGATTTCCTGCAGATTTTGGCTATGAGAAAGGGAAAGGAGACGAGAATGGAGATGAAGCTTTGTGGAGTGGCACTTACAGTGCAAGAAAGGGAACACGGGGTGGAGAAGACGGGAGAAAGGGAAGAGATTTTAAAGGGGGATGGCAGTTTCTTGTAATTAGAATGAAAAGACAAGGGTAATTTGGGGAGTAAAACGGCAACCTCACCTGTTTTGAAATGGGTAACATTCTAGGACCCGACAAAAGAACATAGAGAGGTCCCTAACTTCAAAAAGGTAAAGCATCTGATTAATTTGCCTTTCAAATATGTTTGAGGGATATTACCTTATTAGCCCTTACTCTTTAACCCCGTTTAGAATTCATCTGCGAGAACGATGAGATTATAACCGTAAATTAGAGTTGTCCAAATGTTTCAATTGCACAATTTCCATCAAGCAACTTTTCTTTAGTTAACTTTCAATTGCACAATTTCCATCAAGCAACTTTTCTTTAGTTAACTGTTTACGTAATTTTCGTTGGAAGGAGTGAATTAGAGAGGAAAGAAATTGTCGAGAATTGAAAAAGAAGAGATAAATAAAAATTAAAGGTCAAGTATATTGTGTTCAGATGGCATGTAGTGACCTCTTTTATGTGGGAGATCATAAGATCGAGTCTCAGCGGAGGTGTTGTTAACTCTTTGTGCTTCATTAGGTTGAGAAAGTATGTTTGAACAAAATCAGCAAAAAAAATGTAATGAAGTCCAAAAATCTGTTAGTGACCTATTATAGCAGGTCACTAAGGTTTTGACATCATTTCCAACAAAATATCGATCGCTGAGACCTCATTTCCAACAAAATATCGATCGCTGGAGATCAACACGGTTGCCGGTCACCACCTCTCTGGAAAAGATGACCAAAACCTAATCGCCCGATCGCTGGAGATCAACGCGGTTGCCGGTCACCACCTCTCTGGAAAAGGCGACCAAAACCTAATCGCCTTTCTCCGAAGAGGCGACTGGCAACAGGAGGTGGAAAAGACGACCAAAACCTAATCGCCCGATCGCTGGAGATCAACGCGGTTGCCGGTCACCACCTCTCTGGAAAAGGCGACCAAAACCTAATCGCCTTTCTCCGAAGAGGCGACTGGCAACAGGAGGTGCTGGTCGCTGACAGTCAATTTTTGGTCGGAAATGGTGTCGGAACCCTAGTGGCATGCTATCACAGGTCACTAATCGGTTTTTACTTTTTAGGCTTCATTGCACCAAAATAAAATGTTAATCGGTTTAATTGCAACTTTAAAAAGTTTAGGCACCTAATTGATTTTTCAGGTAAAGTTTGAAGACCTATTTGACTATTTTCCCTAAAAATTAAAATCAAAAAATGTTCTAATAATAATAAGGGAAAAGGATCAAATAGGCCCTGAACTTTCATAAAAAAGTCAGTTAAGTTCTTAAACTTTCAAAAGTTACAATTAAACTCATAAACATTCTATTTTGGAGCATTGAAGCCCAGAAACCGGTTGGTGGCCTACAATTGTAGGTCACTAAAGTTCTGGCAAACTTCCGACCAAAATTCAGCGAAAAGTCGCTGGTCGCGTTCACCTTCTCTAGCAAAAGAGAATGCAGACCAACTAGTCGCCTTCTCCGGTGAAGGGGAAGGCAACCAGTTTGGTCGCCTTCTCCAGTCGAAGGAGAACGTAATCGACGACCCAGTCGTCGATGTTTTTTGCCAGAGTTTGATCGAAAGATCGATCAGAAGTTTGTCGGAACCTAAGTAACCTGAAATTGCATGTCACCAACTGGTTTATGGGCTTCAATGTTCCAAAATATTATATTTATGGGTTTATTTGTTTTAAAAGTTTAAGGACCTAATTAATTTTTTGATGAAAGTTCAGGGGTTTATTTGACCATATAATAATAAGGGAAAAGGGTCAAATAGGCCCTCGAACTTTAGCTTAAAAGTCAATTAGGCCTCTAAACTTTTTAAAGGTAAAACACGTTAATGACCTGCTATCACAGGTCATTTGGGTTCAGGCCACCTTCCGGCGAATTTTCCGGCCAAAAAAATTGACCAGCAACCGACCCAGATTTGCCTAAAATTTTGCTGGTCACTTTTTTACCAGAAATTTTCCCGGTCACTTTTTTTTTTTTTTTTTTTTTTTTTTTTTTTTTTTACCGGAAAATTCGCTAGAAGGTGGTCTGAACCCTAATGACCTGTGATAGCAGGTCATTAATTTGTTTTTGGGCTTCATTGCACTTAAATGAATTGTTGATGGGTGTAATTGCACCTTTAAAAAGTTTAGGGGCCTAATTGACTTTTAAGCTAAAGTTCGAGGGCCTATTTGACCCTTTTCCCTAATAATAATAATAATAATAATAATAATAATAATAATAATAATAATAATAATAATTGTAGTATTGGTTGTGGTCCTGTAGATGATGGTTTATTTATAGTGTTAAAGTAGATGTAGATGTTCATTTAAATATTGATTCTGAAAATTTATGTCCAATCAATTAATGTTAGAAACATAACATAATTATTGCAATGTTAATTCTCAATTATGGATCAACAATTATTACTCAAATTAATTTTGTGAATTACTCTCCTATCCACTAAAATCTTTTTGTTTATTATTCACTTTGATTTTCTTTTCATCTTTATTTCTCAATTATGGACCAAAAAGTTCCCGCCCAAATGGAACGACGTCGTTTACAGAACTAGTATTGTACCCGTGCGATGCACGGTCTATAAATAAAATTTTAATTTATAGTGTTATTGTAATAAACAAAAAAGGAATGGATTTATGATAATAATAAACTATACATATGATATCACAATAGTAATAAGATATAAAAGTACATTAAACGACATTAGTCGTAGAAGTACAACTATTATTAAAATCATTACAAATTATAATTTTTCAAAGTACAATGCGACTGCGTGTTACTTGAAGATGAACACAATTGACCTACAATTTTTATTGACAATCTGACTAAACTCCTATCTTGCATACAAAAATAAACGCACATTATAAAACTATTACACGGATAAAAAATAATCAAAAAATATAGTAATATAATAGTTGACACTTACTATTATGTAGGATGCGCCAAAGGTATCCAATATTTCATGGATATATACCATAGTTGGTTCTTTGTACAAATTTCTTGCTCTATCATGGATTTTGAGTATTACGATTTGGAAATTTTACTCCACAGTCGGGCGGGGGGGGGGGGGGGGGGGGGGGGGTTCTTCCTTCAACTTCCCTAATTCTGAGCTCGGAGTGCTCTGAACTTCAACCTCAGTGCATGCGGCTAACTCTTATCATTTTACAGCTTTCTTGGATTCCGATTGGTTTTTTAGAACAATTTTTTCAATTATTACTACAATGGAGGTATGTTGTTACGGGTTTTCTGTAGATTATTTAGATCTGACCAACTATATTTGTTTGAAGGAACAGATCAACACATGGAATGTAATAATTTGTGCAAATCATAATTGCTTTCAGTGTGGCTTAAAGTTGAAATATTAACATTTGCAGCTTGGGTGATATTGGCAGTCCCAATAGTGCCTTGTAGAAATAAGAGTATATCCAACTGTTTGGAATATAAACTGCAACTGTTTGGAATATAAACTGCAAATGATATGGTATAATTTCCCCTTTTATATATGTGCTGTATGATTTTTCCTTTATACTCTGTTTCAACAATATAACATGGGGAGTGAATAAAAAAAGCTTCTCTCCCAAAAGATGAGTCATTTCTAGAGCTTTTTACAATTTCCGTTGAAGAGAGACGGAGGAGCCGAGGAAAAGAGAGAGAGAGAGAGAGAACAGAGAGGTGCGAACGGAATCTGGCGACGAAATGATAATGGCGGACTACAGAGAGAAGCTAAATCAATTTTGATTTAGCTTGATGCACAGGATAGTTAAAGCTATCTTCTCGAAACAAAAGTGTCCTACAGTTGTTGTGTCTAAGAATTTCATACTGATGTGTATCTTAATCAGTTTTTGTTTAGTACATTTACTTGATTAGCTATTTTAATCTCCAATTAGCACTAAATTTCATTCAATTTCTAGCTTGAATTGTGCAGCAAAGCTAATTTCTAGATACAATAACAATTTTCCCCTAATTTTTATCAGGTACAGAACACTAATACACTGTTTTGCAGGTTTAAACTATGAATACTTGAAAAAGATTATACTTGATGCAAAATTTTTATTTAGATTGTAGTTAGGACTTGAGTGCCATAATTTCCTTTTTTCAATAGCCCTTAAAATTGATATATTTTGAAGACTTGACACAAATAGAGACTATCATGTCAAGGATGAAAGATTGCCTTCTGCAGAAAGCCTTCAAACAAACCACAATGTCCATGCACATTGAAAACTATGAAGGTCTTAGTATCTGTAGAAATGCTATATTGCTGTCTGGCTGTTCTCTTTCCAACAATGACCATTTACTTACAATTTGATTATCCTGCAGGGAGCAAGTCAAAAGTAGTTGTAGATTTGAAGCTCTTCAATCCGGTATCCTCTGAACTCTACCTTTATTTGCATCTATATGCTTCCTCTACCTTTTAACTTCTTCATGAATATGTATCCTGCTTTTTCACCTTTTGACTTCCTTGCTTGTTTTATATTTGGATTCTCTGGTATTGAAAATCAAATATTTTTATCCTTAGTAACTATAGCACACAATCCATTAGTTATACTTCTTTATCGTTACAGTAGCTTCCTCATCCCAGAATGTATTCTGCATTCCCAGCCTCATCCCAGAATGTATTTTGTATTTTGGATTGAAAAAAACATTAAAAACAACATACCTCTTGATAATGGAAGAATACTTCTTTACATTTTATACTTCCCTCCCTCTTCATTCCAGGATTACACATGTACGCACAACGCGGACCCATATTGCTCTTCTTGTATTCAATGGAGAGATGTCACCTTGCTTCTCATGGGGTGAATCAATGACTTGATCTCTGATGACCTTTACCTTCATTGCTCTTCTTGTTTTGAAGGTTGAGAAGTAACGTCCCAAAGTGAAGAGCCCCATGTTGGAATAGAAGACAGAATCTCGCAATAAGCTACTGGTGTGCGATTGTTTGTATTTCAACCTTCATTGCGCTTCTGTAATATATAGACACTGAAGAGTTGCTTCTGGATACACTTCCCAGAAGCTTTGAATCCTTTCATCGTTAAACGGAATAGTTGCATCGCTTAATGTAAATATAATTAAAATTGTAACCTTTTGTATTTACATTTACACTGCCATAAATAAACCTACCACTTCCGGATTCCCGTAATTATTTTGGACGGCGAAATTAATAATTCTATAAACCCAATGTTTGAAAAAATCGGATTACCAAGAAGTGAAATACCAATTTCTAACGGTGCTGTTTTATTTAGGCGGGAAGTTTTGGCAATTGAGCATTTACTGCTTCTTATTGCTATTTTATATTAGAGGATATCAGAATATTAAATGACATGCGTAAGATTCCAGGTGAGACCGTTCAGTTACCAAAGACTTTTAAAAAAATATAATTATTTCCTTTTATTTTTGGTTTACAGAATCAATTTCAACCAATCAAATTAAAGACCTAATTTGAAATAGGTTGGTCTCTGCGTTTTCCGATAACATATTTATATGTAAACAATTATGTTCACATATTCATTACGCCGAATTGGTTTTTCCAACGATAGTGCAGGCCATGGATATTTAAATAACAGTCTCAGCATTTGTACACCAGTGCTCATCTTCGAATCAGCTCATCTACACGTAATAGCAAAATTTGCAGGTGATAAACGCAGGCAACAATGTACGTTCTTGCAAGTGATATATCCCCAATGAATACACGCAACGCACTGCGTTTGCGAACTGTGAGGGCGTATGACATCCAAGAAAGGAAGTCGTCTTCCGTACTCAAATCCAAAGAAGTTGTGTTCCATGATCAGCAGGTAATTTTTTTTTGAAACGTACTGGGTAATCTGGAAAAAATCTTGCATATTACTGACCATTACATCATAATCTAAAATCATAAATTGCGATTGCTTTCAGGGCACATTTTTGCATGCCCACATACCCAAGGAATTTGTAGACAAATTCCGGACGACTTTTACAGAAGGCAAAGTGTATGGTGTTAAGAACTTTATGGTCATCACTAATTTCTACTCTTTTAAGACCAGCCCACATAAATCCCTGATAAAGTTCAATTATCAAACTGTTGTAAAAGAGTTGAAGGGTACAAATTTCCCAATGCACATGTATAGGTTGATGTCAATCTGTTGATGAGAAGCAACTATTTGGTACGGCTATATTATTACAGATTTTGTATCTGTATTTTTAAAATTTTTAATTCTTTTACTAACATTACACTTTTCATTGTAAAAAATGTGTTAGATGTAATTGGCCGTGTGGTAGAGATACATGCTCCCCAGGAAAAGATAATAAATGACAAAAACTCAAGGTTGATCGACTTTGTAATTGAAGATTCTGAGTATGTCTCTAATTTTCTGCCGTTTATAACTTTCTATTCCTAAAGTGTTTGCACTCATACCTAACATCTATTAAAAATTATAGTGGTATTCAATTGGGTTGTACTGTATGGGACGACCACGTAAACAAAGTGGAGGTGTAGTACAATTCGGCTACTGAAGAACCATTATTGGTTTTAATACAGTTTTGTAGAGCTAGAACCTGTTTGAGAAGTAACTACTCATTTCTTTACTGAAATAATTTTGTTTTTTTTTAATATTAGCTAAAGTTGGTTTAACTAATATTGTTTTTTCCCTATTTAGGTGGTGATATCAAAATCTGTTCATCATATGATGTTACACAACTCCTATTCAATCAACAAAGCCCAGAGTTCATGCAGTTTAGAGAAAGGTATGTAAAAGAATTACACTGTTTATCTACAAATAATATTTGCATATTATTTCTTAACTTCTATAAAAAAAAAAGACTCAAGATAGTGTATAATATAATTCTTGTGCCTTGAACAAACTCCGATGAGGAGTATTGTTTCACAGTCCAGTTTCAACCCTGGAAGTTCATACACTGTCTCCCTCAAGGATGATTTGCAATTAAGAACTTTGACGGAAGTGTATGCAAAGAAAGAGGTACGAAAACAATCTCACAAACTAACAAATTAATAATGGTTAACATCTTATTTTGGGTGCTAAATCCTAAGTAATTATATATGCTGCAGTTTGGAGAGTTCTGGGTAGCTGCTAGAATAATTTTCATTGACTGTGATGGGGAGTGGTATTATCCATCGTGTCGTACAAAAGCATGCTACAAGAAGTTGGAGCCCAAAAACGAGTTTCTATATTGCAAAGACTGTGATAGGACTTGGGGAGATGGGATATTGAGGTATAGGATTAAAATCAGGGTTGTAGACATAAAAGGAAATGCTCCCTTTGTCATGTGGGATAGGGAATGCACTGAGTTGTTAGGTATGAGTGCACTGGAATTGAAACAGAAAAATTCTCAGGTAACACAATACATTTAATTACTTTCTTAACTACTTATATTTGTGATTCGCTAAATGAACATGTACCCCTATTCAACTTTTATCCTTTTCTACTGTAGGGAAAAAATGGTGTGCCTGTTGAAATTCAAGCATTGGTTGGCCTGAACCTAATTTTCAGAATTGTGGTTCGAAGGGAACATTTTCTAAACCTCCTAAATGCGTTTTCTGTGATGAGGATTATCAATGATTTGGAAATGTTAGAGCTACATGCCCCACAGTTGATGCTCGGAAGGGATAAAGACCTTAACTCGAAGTTAGAACTTGAGCTTACAGAAGAAGATCTTTGGGAGGATGAGGTATTTAGAACTCATAAATATTGTTATCTGCCTATTAACTCTGGTCTGAACATTTCTATACCTGACCCATAAAACAAAAATATTGGTGTAGGATGAGTTGTGTTGAGTTTGTCTCATATATGGATTAGGAATAAGTGTTTGTCTCATACTAGAAGTAGGAGTGAAACGGGTAGACCTATTGTATAGGGATTAGATGCCTATAAATATATTGGTTGTATCCCTAAAGGGTGGTGTCACCACTATCACCATCACTATGAATAAGAGAATCATTTCACTCCCGTGGATGTAGGCATTTTGCCGAACCACGTAAATTTTGTCTTCTTTACCCTTTTTGCCATTATTATTTTTCTTGTTCTTGTTTAATCTCAACAAATTGTTTGTCTCATATATGGATTAGGAATAAGTGTTTGTCTCATACTAGAAGTAGGAGTGAAACGGGTAGACCTATTGTATAGGGATTAGATGCCTATAAATATATTGGTTGTATCCCTAAGGGGTAGTGTCACCACTATCACCATCACTATGAATAAGAGTATTGTTTCACTCCCGTGGATGTAGGCACATTGCCGAACCACGTAAATCGTGTCTTCTTTACCCTTGTTGCCATTGTTATTATTTTATTGTTCTTGTTAATCTCAACAAATTGGTATCAGAGCATAGTTGAGATGGCTAGTTCAAGTACAAAATTCGAGGTATCAAAGTTTGATGGTATAGGGAATTTTGAATTATGGCGGTCTAGGGTAAATGATTTGTTGGCATATCAGGGCCTTCTGAAAACCTTGAGGGCGGAAAAGCCAGCTAATCTGGAAGATGCTGATTGGAAGGAGTTGAAGAAGCAGGAAGCTACGGACGTGGTACATGCTGATGACTCTTATTATAGTGAAGGTGATGTTCTAGCGGTAACTAGTAACAAGTTCAAACATTATTTGGACTTGTTGGGTGTTTCTAGATGCTAGATGAGAAGGTGGTGAGGAGCGCTGTAGTGTTGGGCAGCGTGGATACCAGGAGGGGTCGTGGACCTGGTATCGGTATGGGCTTATATGGGCTCGATATGTGACGGTATGGCATTGGTTAGGGCCGATATGGGTTTGGTATGGTCCAGTATGGCACTGGCATGGGTCGGGCTTGGCATGAGTCACGGCTGGTATGGGTTGGGCTTGTCATGAGACATGGACCTGGTATGACCCGCGCTTGGCATGAGTCACGGCTGCTATGGGCGGACGCTTCAGGATGAAGCGGTTCATGAACATGCACTGGGAACGTTTGATGCTGCATTGTGCGTGTTGCTAACTAGTGGCAATAGCTGGTTAGTGGAGCATTGGGCAAGGCACATGGGTTCAGTGTGACGTTGCAGGGGCGCTGTTGTGTTAGGGGCAGCGTGGATACCAGGAGGGGACATGGACCTGGTATGGGCCGGATGCAGGAAGTCAGCTGAACGGGGCAGTTAGCATGAGTCGCGACGGTATAACAGGTCGACGGCTGAGGGGCGAATGGCTTGGAATAAAGCGGCTCGTGTACATGCACTGGGTAACGTTTGATGCTGCGTATGCATGTGGCTGGCTAGTTGGGATGAGCATGGTTGTTCCTACCCATGTGTATATGTGAGATAAGTTTTTTCTCCTAAGGGGCATAATTGTGAAGGTGGAGATGGTGAGATAAGTCTTTTCTCCTAAGGGACATAGTTGCTAAGGTGGAGATTTGTTGAGTTATCATTTTCTCCTAAAGGGCATATTTGCGAAGGTGGAGATAGTCTTTTCTCCTAAAGGGCATATATGTGAAGGTGGAGATGGTGAGATAAGTCTTTTCTCCTAAAGAGCATATTCGTCAAGGTGGAGATTTGTTGAGTTATCTTTTCTCCTAAAAAACATATTCGCCAAGGTGGAGATTGTTGAGTTTGTCTCATATATGGATTAAGAATAAGTGTTTGTCTCATACTAGAAGTAGGAGTGAAACGGGTAGACCTATTGTATAGGGATTAGATGCTTATAAATATATTGGTTGTATCCCTAAGGGGTAGTGTCACCACTATCACCATCACTATGAATAAGAGTATTGTTTCACTCCCGTGGATGTAGGCACATTGCCGAACCATGTAAATCGTGTCTTCTTTACCCTTGTTGCCATTGTTATTATTTTATTGTTCTTGTTAATCTCAACAAGTTAGATGTCAATGAAGTCGAGAGTCCTCTCCAGGCTATTCCACTTAATCTCACTGGTGATGGCTATGAAGCAGGGGCAGTTAAAAGGTCATTGATGGATGAATTTTCAAGTACCCAAAGCTCCAAAAAAACAAAGGAAGTGGTTGTGAAATTAGAGAAATTGAAGGAAGCTTGAAATAGTAGCTGGGGTCTGTTAAATTTAAACAATTGGACAATGGTTTTTGAGTACAACTGCTAAGTTGTTTGCC